AAGTTTGTGTCCCTGTCTTCTTGGTTTTCCTTTGTTTCTTTTATATTAAAACACATTCATATATTTGGGGTTTTTTTTCTTTATATGAGATAGGATCTCACTCTATAGCCCAGGCTAGATTGAACTCCCACCTCAGTCTCCCACACTCTGCTCATGTGCTTTCTGTTGGACATGTTGCTTTAGTATTTTTATTGCAAATCTAAATGACTCAAAGAAGTTAAAAATAAAGGTATGAACAATGCTCAGTTGCAAAGGGTAGTGCACATTTAGATATGCATTGTACCTTCATTGTTTTCCTACTTGAGATATCTTGGTTTACTGGTCAATTATTTTGACTGTATATTACCACACGTGAAAACAAAAATTCCCAACTGAGTGATCCCTCTATTGTTAAAGTCCTAGATTTAATAGTTTTGTTGTCTACTAAACCACAACATATTCACACTGAAATACTACTAAGAAAACTCCTTTCTCTCTTGTACAACTTGTTATTAAACTGAATGTTTCCCTCCCTAACTTAACTTACTCAGTTAATTTTAAAAAGTGATCTTTGTGCCTGTTACATTTCAATCTAAAATAAGGGACCCAAAATGCATGTGAACTTTACAATGCTCTTTTATATACTAATTTTCTGAGAGAAATGATATATGTGTCAAACTAATATTACAGCAAGGACATGTTTTTGCTATAATTCTTTGTGACCTTGACTCCTTCTTGGGGACAGGTACTTTTGCATAGCAGATTGCATAGTAACTACAGTCAATGAATGATTTTTTGGTCTTTTCTTTTTTTAACATGGATTTTCTCATTTATCCTTAACAATTATCTGGGTTATTGCAGGCAGAAAAATATTTCCTGGGTTCCACTCTATTTCTAAATCTTTCTTTATTAGTTTTTATTTCTAAATCTTTCTTGATTGGTTTTTATTTTTTTTAATTAAAAAAAATGATGACCAGCTGACTTACCCTCTTAACTTCTATGGCCAGGTCTTTCTCCATATTCATGCTGATTTGAATTAATCCATTTGTCTTAATCCAAATTCAAGTCAGGGGAATTGTCGGTGGAGAAGAGAATGTAAAATTCTACTGATTGGTTACTTTTATTTGAGACAGGCTCTCACTCAGTCTGTCCTAGAATCACTTTGTACCCATGACATGGCTAACCTCAAACTCAAAGGGATCCTCCCTCCTCACTTGAGTTCTGGACTTCAGGCGTGAGTATCCTGCCCTACTTGAACTCCACAATGTTGGGAAATGTGGAAAGATTACTGTTAGTGTTTTAACTTTTTTAAACATATGAGCTTGAAATCTGCTTTCAATTCCCACACAAACTCCCACTCAGGGGTCATATGTCAACAGCCTAATCAAAATAATTTATTTTTGTGATTCTTGTTTGTTTAAGCATGTACTATCAATCAAAGTATTTTCTCAGATTTTTTTATGTAATAAGATCCACGAGGTCTGGACAGTTCCAGCAACCATTTTCTTCCTATACACAGATGTGATGTGGGCTCTCCAAAGAACATCCAGGGAGCACAACAAAGGGATTTGCCAAAGATGCTCCTACATGGAAAGGCTTCATAAGGTTCATATTCTTACAGCCTAACCGCAGGCATTACTATTGGCAAAAACTATTGAATGTTTCTCTGAACTAGCCACAAAAATCCAATATAAGGGTAATAAGAGTGACTTTGTCAAAAAAGTCTCGTAAGGTTAATTCAGTAATGTTCAAAGACAGAATTTTAAGCTTAACAGCCATATAAAAACAGAAACAAGCACGAGGAAGCAGCTTCTCAAGAACTTTACAGCCCCAGAGAAACGCTTTTGGACTTTGCACCAACCATTTCAGTCCACTAGGGGAACCTTAAGCAAATGACTTCATCAGTATTCCAGAAACATTTAGTTTACCAAAGCAGTAAATTAGCCTAACTCTGAAATTCCCAAACTGTTTCTGAACAGCAGCTGCTTTTAGAAAGCCAGCAGGGTTCTCTGTCCTCTAGCTCATTCCTCTTTTGCCTCCCCCCCGACCCACGTACCCCTACTTGCACAAGTGCCCTAAAAACAAGCAGTAACATTTACCCAGGATTGTGAAAATAAAATACTACCAACTGTAGCCCAGGGGCCATCTGACTTAACCCTCTTGGAGGACTGAAAATATGATGGGAAAATTACATAAAAATAAACAGCCTGTGGTGCTTAATATCTGTTCATGTAAGAGGGGGAAAACATGTCATGATAACTATTGAGGAATTAATTCATAGTTGGGATGATGAAATATTATTGCTGACCTGTACATAAATGGGCTACAATCTTCTGGGCTTCACGCATGATTCACAAACACTCCTGAGTGCATGCACACATACACACCCAAAGCTCCTTACTTTCCACAAAGCAGTGTTGTCTCACAGGATAAAAGGTATTCTTTATTAAATTAGCTTGCATTCTTGAGTTTGATGACAAGCAGGATGACTTGTAAGTTATCACAGTGTGTCCTAGGAAGAGGCTCTTTTACTGCGTGTGATTAGGGAAGGGTAGGTTAGAGAGGAAGAACTGTAGAGGCAGCTTTATTATTGGAGCATATGCCCAGCATTTTCTCCCTCTATTGCAAGCAGCTATATAACTAAAGAAATAGAAAAATGTTTCTGAATCTATCCCATTTCTTTTTAGGAAAAAGTGATTACATCTCATAAATAATTTTAACCTTAGGAATTAACCAAAGAAAGTAGAGAAGACATCATATCTCATAGCCTATAGACCATGACTATCAATAAAACTCAGCGATTAAGCACATGTAAAAGAAAATCATGATGTCCTTACTATTCCTATCAGATTCCGGCAGTGGCTCTTACTCAAACGGCAATTACTGGCAAAAAAATTTAGCCTCAACTGTTTCAAAAAGCGGGTTTATTGAATTTACAAACAAGGACCTACAATTTTCCATTTCCTTAGCAAGATATTAAATCAAGCAAGCTAAGTGTGTCATCATGACTATAATTTACGTGATGTGACATGACAGTTTAGATGTACTGTGGTAATTTCTGAGAGCTGGCAGTATTATTGTGGTATCAAAAATTTATATGGTTCAGTTATTAAGGCAAATTGTTTCATTCATACTGAGAATGCTGACAGTAAACCACTGAGGGCTTCCACGGTACACTAAAAAATGCCTTCCATAGTCAAACAATTTGCACACTCTGTTACCATCGTTTTTGCTCACTGAATAGAAATGGGGACACTGGCAGGCAGGGCTTTGTGAAGTGAAAATGATCTGCTGTGGAATATGAAGTGTTTCATTGTGGGTGGTTAGAAGAAACAGCAGGGCCAGACAAGGGAAGTTATCTTTGGGTTCCAACCACTATGAACAGGAAGTCCAAATTCTTTGCTCTGATGTTATTTAATATCCCATTTGCTTGCTTTCCTTCTGTTGGTTTGATTTTCAGCCAACAGAAGGAAAAGGCATATGACCAAAAAAGAAATGATGGAAAATATGGTAATGGTAATTACTATTAGTAACTATCTTTAAATAAATTTTAGCATAATGCCACCAAAAAAAAAAGAAAGAAAGAAAAGAAAAAGGAAAACAAGTGTCTGATTTTGACCTAAATTTCTTCTTGAGATTCTTTCAGCAATAAAAGGAAAGAGGTTTATTTTTATTTTTTACTTTTTGGCAATGTTAAACAGAAGAAATTCAAGGCAGGGATATGGGAGGTTTCTAAATAGGATAGGATAAAATGACTTCATGTCATAAAGGGCCTAGAAAATAAAAGTTTAATTACATTTTTATTACAGCTATTGAATTTTATGCAACATATGCTGTCTATTTTAAAATGCATGTTCATTGAAAACCTACTTTATTCATTTACACATTTTTTCGTAGGACCATTTAGAAGCCTGTTAAAAATAAGAACCTGGCTATGAGTTAAAATGTTTCAATCAGCTAAAATTACCAGTTCCCATTCACTGAGCAGTATATGAGGTACTATCATTTCTATTTCAATGCTCATGTTATGCCATACATTTAACAATTGTAAGAATATTTTGTTTACTTAATCAATGAAAAGTTTCTTATAGCCAGGATAACAATGTGTGCTTAGAGGTGGCAGGTGATATCATTTTCCCATTGCCAGATTTTTGCCATCACTAGGTTCTGTAATGAGGTAACTTAATCTATGATAGGGTACTAATTTTCATACACCAGGAAAATATTCACAAAATAATTAAATTTAGTTTATAACAAACTATTTGGCAAAATAAAACAGAATTCTAAATACCAAAATATACATCTAGCGAGGATTCATGAACAAAAAAGAAACCACATACACACACACACACACACACACACACACACACACACACACTTGAATTTTCAAGGTTGCTCTCCTTCAAGGTTTATTGCTGTGTGTGCATTCTACATGTGTGAGTCAGCTTGAAAACCACATGTGCTTTCAAAAGGGCAATTTCAGGGTACTTCTCTGTCCAAACTCTAAAATGTATGTTGTTTACATATACATCATATCAAACACTGAATTAGATGCATAATAAATCTATTTTTCTAACTAACACACATATTGGATACAAGGAAAAGGACTGTCTTGCCTATCAATTTTGAAATAAAACTAAAGAGATGAGGGGAACTTTGTAAAAAAAAAATGTCACCCTACACTACTGTTAAGGCAGTTATACTTAAATAAACACAACACCATTTCCTCCAATATCTAAAATATGTTTCCCAAAAGACTCTGGGATTTTATTAATATTCACTCATTCAAAGAGCTTACCTAGAACCTATGTGCAAATCTAAGAATGCAATAATCCTATGTTGTCTCCTACTTTTTATCAGTTGTGTTACATGGAGAATGCCCAACTTATCTGATTAAGTGGCTTCTGGAAATCTATTATAGTAGGTATTTGATTTCAATTTGAAAAAAAGTAATTAAAACTCACTTTCTAGCTAGGTCAGTTAAAATACGGTTTCAAGAAGAATGTCACAAATGGACTTACTTTGTTTCCCAGATATGGAGGTGGTGCACTCCAGTAGTAACCATTCAGGAGGGATCGCCGGGCCTCAGAGTTACTAATACTGATCTGCTGAGGTGAGTCTGGGTTATCAAGCTGGGGAACCACCTGAATGCGGCCTGAGATGTCTGTGAGATACCAGCCATGCATATCTTGAATCTTAAAGAAAACATAACCATCACTGTTACACAAAACAAACACAGGCACAGGCAAAAGACAGCAGTAGCTTATTTTTCTCCATCATAGTACCTGCTATTTTTGAAATTAGGAGTGGGGAAAAGCTACAGACACTTAAAAAACATAGGAGTTGGGTATAATGTGTGTATCACCAAGCTTATCATATATACTAACATAGAATCTGTTGTTTATTTTTTAATTGATGTTTTTGAGAATCTTGACAGAGCTATGTAATAATGTTTTTACTATTCTTTAAAATGTGATTCCAAGTACTATGTCTGTGTTTGCACATGTGTCTGAGCAAACATGTATGGCAGATATGTCTGTATGTATGTGCATGCAGATACATGCATGAGTGTATGTGGTAGAGGTAAGAGATTATCACCAACTGTCTTCCTCGATTGCTTTCTACCTTTCAGTTTTTAAGACATGGGCTCTCAGTCTCCCTGGTGTTGATTTGGTTAGACTGGCCTTTAAGCCCGGATCCTCCGTCTCTGCTTCCCCACCCCCTACCTAAAGTGATGGGGTTATTTGTGTGCCCCCACGGCTCCCAGCTATTTGTATGAGTCCTAGGGATTTAAATTCAGCCCCTCATGTTTGCATGACAAGCATTTTACTAACATAACCAAAAATAGAAATTCATTTTAACTTATACAATGGTTATAATGTCATATAATTTATCAAGTAATTCTACTTGAAATTTTACATTTTTCAGTTCAGCAGTATTTAGTACTGTTTTATGAAACCTAATGTCTCACAGTGTTGCATATGCATTCCTAAAGCCAAGGATGAAAGGAAATTATACATACAAGACCTAAAAGGGAGTGTTTCACTCAATACTTCAATTCTTCCAACTTTATAAATTTTCTGCTTTGAGGTTCCAGGTCATTTGAATCCAGCAAATGTTGCCATGACAACATCTCCTACAACTGTATTAGCTGTATTAGTTTTATTATCACTGTTACAACTTAAGGTAGGAAGGATTTATTTTGCTTCTAGATGCCATAAGATTTGTCCATCACTGTGGTCAGATTGTGGTGAAGAGTCATTTAACTCAAGATGGCAAGTTGGTAAAGTATAGAGAGAAAGAATCCATGGTCTGATGTCCCTTTCCAAAACATACCCCTTGGACTTACTTCTTCTTACCAGGCCCAACTTACAGCATCCCTGCCCTCTCCCAATATTCTATACAACATCTTAATGGAACAGGAGGATAAACCATCCATTTACTCAACCCTCAATCTAATCAAGCTGATAGCCAAGGTTAATCACTATAGGGGCTACCACTTTCAGAATACTACTGCCTGAGGTATAGATTGTGTTACAAGTGATTGACAGCAACTGGAGTGATAAGGCTGACAATATATAGGCTAATTATAACTTTTAATTTTCTTTCTGTGTTGAGATTATTTGACTTCTGTTTATCTTTAAAGCTTTGGGATGTCTATGACTGCTTTGGTCAAAAGCAAAGACCAAATGAGGTCAAAGGCCATTGACTGAGTAGACAATAGTAAATAGTTCCCCTTTCTAACATTAGCTGTCTGTCCTTCGGGTGTTTTCAGACATCTCAGTACGATTATAGATCTAGGTTCTGAAGACCAGGACTTGAGTGCTACCTGTTCCCTGCCCCTTCAAAAACCATGAAACGTAAATTCATCAGTGGAGTTGTCAGGAACTGTTAAGCATGACTCTGTAAACAAAGTGAAGAAGTTAGACTTTGAGTCCATTTGTTATTATTTCTTTGAAGTTTTCTTTGAAATCAATACATTGGGTAAGTATCTAGAGATTCACAGTCAGGCATAAGAGTACAGTCAGAATCTACTCATTTCAAATTTGACTTAAAATCTATATAGACAGAACAATATTTCAAGACTGTGCTCTGGATTAATTTGCAGATCAAAGCTGGAAGGAGTGATTGGGTGATAGCTTCTCAAAATATCAGTCTGTAAAACATGACTCTGATATGCCACTCTGCTGTTCACAATCGGTTAATAATTATCCAGATACCCCACAGTTTCTCAGTGGTCTCTCCGCAATCTACTTCTTCATTCACTCTGAGTGTCTTTTCATCCAGCCTGCTTCCTACATGTTCTGCACTCAAAATCCAGCCAAGGGAACTATGACAATTCCCAAAGATCCCACTTTTCTCTCACGTATTTTCTCCAGGGGAAAAATGGCCCTCTGCAGACAGACAGGCAATGGGGAGCATGGTGGGCAAATGTGGGTAGACATGTGATACATGTTTGTTTTAGAAAAAGATGGTCTCAGTTATTGCTGAAGAGATGGAAAGACAGGTTTTCTTAAGTGACATGTATATCATATTGGTTAATGGATATTACTATTGTGATCTTATGTTTTCTCTCCTACATCTTGTGCTTGGGATGAAAACAACATAATTTTCATTATGTTTTCACACATGGGATCTGACAAGGGTTGTATCTACTTCACAGAGGTCTCAGTCAAAAGAACAAATAAGGCAGACACAGGGCAGGACATGAGGCAGCATGCAGAGGGCAGTGGCATCCTTACATTGCCATAGGTCCAGTAGGAACTCTGACATCTGTTTGAAACCCCTGAACAGAAGCACTCATCACAGCCTTTTGGATTGTCCTTATGCAAGTTGAAGAAGCCAGATTTGCAACGGCTACAGTCTTCACCTTCAACATTCTCCTGCAAAAGTAGAGAGGTGTTTTAGCAACAGAGGCATTCTTCAAAGGAAGAGTTGGATCTATGCCTGTGTGAAGAAAACATGACTGTGGTCCTTATTTTACCTTCTCACCCATTTTGAAAGCACAACAATGTATTGGAAAACAACTGGTCTAAAGTTTCCTGTTAAGGTCAGTTGTTCTGACATCACAGCCTGTGTGTACATGAGATTTACTGAGTGCTAAGTACCAAACTCAAAGTTACTATTTTGATCTTTATTAGCAGGGTATTGATGGCTCATGCCTTTAATCCCAGCACTGGGGAGGCAGAGGCAGGCAGATCTCTGTGAATTTGAGATTGGTCTGGTCTACAAGAGCGAGTTCCAGGGCAGGCTCCAAAGCAACACAGGGAAACCCTGTCTCAAAAAACGTAAAACCTTTTTTAAAAAGAATGTAGATTAAATATGATAAATCAAAAAATGTTTTAGTTTGAAGAATGTGGAGCCAATATTAAGCTTGCCATTCTGTGTTGGAAACTTCATCTTCAAACATATTATAAAATTCAAACATTTCTGTTATACAAAAATTGTCAAATACCTTCATATTACCGATCAAAAATACATGCCTTTGAGGCAAACATACAAATTTGAGATGTGGAGAATTTGGGGCAAATGAGAATAGATAAGTAAAAGAGGGAAATTTTTTTCACTGTTAAATTTTTACAGTGTTTCTTGTTCTAGTAGGTTATTTATGTAGCAATATTGTGGAGAAAATTCATTCTTATTTAATAACTGTTCTCCAGATTAGGTTTATTAGTCCCAGTCCCAGTACACAGAAAATGTATTTGCTTCTAGGTGAGAATACATTGTGTGCTCACAGCAATGAAAGCTGAGTACACAGGGGGCAATCTCTCCATTTAAGAAGTGGTTAATCCCGATTAATACCTGCAAATGAAAGCTTCCTTTGTAGGAACAGATTTCCAGCATCCTTGAGCATGCATGACTCCTTATCCCCTCTTCCTTGCCTTCTCCTTCTGCCTGTTTGTATTGTTTTCCCTTTCCTTAGAGAGCTAACTACTTAGAGTTTCCCTATTATTTCCACAGTCTCAAATGCACTGCTTGATTATAACCATGAAACCCTATCTAAGCTTACAAAGATTATTATCTCCGAACACACGTAACATTTGGTCTGAGGTGGAAACCTGTTGTTTTATTTCTAGCACAGCAACTGCACTGGAATCTACTGATGTTTCAGCCAATTACTGAGGCTCCAAAGTGGCAGCTCCCAGGGGACTTTTATGTCCCTCTGAATCCACCTCCTGTCCCTACCACCAAATGTCGTTTTAACTAAATCTCTATTGTTCTATTGATCAATAAGACTCGGGAGTCAGAGGCTGGGGTGAAAACCTGCTAGCTCAGAGAGATTGAGGAGCAACTAGCTGACCTTCTCTTTTCTCCAAAAGATGGTGTCCTTCTACTCCACCAAACACAAAAAGACCACAACACTCAATCAAAGTCATTCCATACTACTTCTGTGGTTCTTTCTATAAATCTTTCAGATTCCCATTTACTCTCTATGATTAATTTCTGTCAACTAGCTACTAGCTTCACCTCCTGACACAAGGTGATTTTATTTAATTAATGCAAACACAAACTTGGGGCTCACGGTGTTATGTATATCCCACAACAGAAAACCTCCTGTGTATGTATTTCCAGAAAATAACAAGTTTCCTGGACATTGTTGAGAAATGGCTTCATACAAGTCTATTAACATTAAACAAATTGCTTGGTGGTAGTATTTTTATGTATATTAAGGTGCTATGCACACAGTGGATGCTTATTAAAACTATATAAAAAGGCTAGGTCTAGTTGGCAAAGTGCTTGCTGCATAAGCAGGAAGACCTGAGTTTTAGCACCAGCCTTCAAATTAATAACAAACCAACCAAACAAAAGAAAACAACAGCAAAAGAATAAGCAAAGCAGTAGAATACTGGGTGCACAGTGTGAGCCTCTAATCCCAGTAATGGGGAGCCAGAGTCAGGAAGGATGTCATGCTTCCTGGATAGCCAGTCTAAACTGAATTGGCAAACTCTAAATCCAGTGAAACACCTTGCCCCAAAATATAAAGGGGGAGTATAATAGAGGAATACACCCAAAATAGACTTCTCTGGCTTTCACATGAATGTTCATATAACAAACCTACACACACATTCACATGCATACACAAATATATTTGAGTAAGCCAAGACTGAGACGATAGAGTGGTAAAAAATATAAAAACAGGAGACAGAAAATGGGCCCCCCAAAAAAGAGAAATTTGAAAGACCAAGCAAAGAGGTTCCTCTTAGAGCTGAGAGAATTTACTTAAACTTTGAGTTTTGGCTCTTAATATCCATGACCCATTCATAACTCCAACTATTTTTGCATGACTGGGATCCTTAATAGGAAGGCATGCCTACAGTGCAATTTCATGTCTTCATATTATTGTTGATACATATTGAATTTGAAGTGTGGTTACTAACTCTCTTATCAGTTTTAAGTTTTCTAGGCTGACTCCAAATATTTGCCACTATAGATGTTAGCAAAAGTAATAAATCTACTCTTGGACCTATAGGGACGAAGAAATCCCCAGAGCAGTGAAGAGCATCTTCAAAAGAAAGCACAGGCAGGAAAGATGAAACGTATCTATAATTATAATTTAGCTTTTTCTGCCAAGAACACAGTACAGCTGTTCTGAACACTGTGTTCTTCTGGTCTCTGTCTAGTCTACTTTTCATTTACTCTAAATTGAAAGCAAATAATACCACTTTTCTGAGAGTCAGGCTGAGCTAAACAATCAGCAAATTTTAGATATTAGCTACATATTCCTTAGCTCCACTTTAGCCTTGAAATGTGACCTTCAGAAAAAATTATGCATAAATCATTGCATATTTAGTTTAATCTAATAACCTGAAGCAGAACATTAAAGTGGGAATTCTAGGTACGGTAAAAGATGAGAGTGGAGTCAAGGTCTCTGTTCTTAAAAGCCAGTGTCTATCTAGATGAAAGGATACATCTGAAGTCAACTTTACTGCAAGGTGGAACATGGTCAGTGCATCTCCGAAGCAAATTAACTTATAAGAACATACTTAAGGAGGCACAGATTCTTCCTGTGAAGGCTTTATGATGGGAAAGGAATTGCAAACAAACCTTGAAGCATGGTTTAAAGAAACTAAACTTGTTGGGCAGAACTAGGAAGACATCTACGTTAGCAAAGACGGTGAAAATAATGTTTAATGTGAGGATAGTTTCATGTGTCACTTATTCTTCTAAAATAAACTCACTGAAAACTTCCTATATGGGAAGAATTTTATTTGGTACTTAAAATCAAGGGCTTACTGTTAAATAATTGACATTTAAGGGTATCCTAGGAGACAAGGACCTCTTCTCTTAAGAAATGGGAGATAATTAATGTGAGCTAAGCAGGAGATGAATTCACATATTTATAACTGAGGCACTTGAGTTGTCAGTAGTACGTAAGATGCCTATGAGACATGAGACAGTGGAACACAGAAATCTTTCACTACTATATAGTGCTGGAATGGGTTAACTCAGCAGGTTTGGATGTTCAAATACAGCATCTGATAATGAATGTTATGTTAGAGCAGTGGTTCTCAACCTTCCTAATGCCATGACCCTTTAATACAGTTCCTCCTGTTGTGGTGACCCCCAACCATAAATTATCTCATTGCTACTTCATAATTAGAATGTTGCTTCTATTATTTGACCTAAAGTATTTTAGGTCTGGTTTGCTGTTCTCAAGTTAAACCTTCAGATTCTTCATAATAAGCAGCAATTTACCAAAATGTTAACAAGGCAAAAACCTACTTTAGAGCATAATGTTGTAACCGATGAATTTTACCCAGTCTCAAGCACCTGAACTTTGGCTAATCGGTGTCTACTAACTGGTCAGACCATGTTCAAATAAGGGAAATATCTAGATGTAACCAATCCAGCGATTCCTGTACTTTTCTCCAGTTTGTCTATAGATACTTATTGGTCACTTTTGAAAGCAGTGCTCTCTGAGTCTCCTCTGATTTTGAGTGTTACCTGATTCATAAGTCATCTATACCAGGAGCTGTCGTGACCCAGTGTGTCTCAGCCTTAATCCATGAGGTTCAGCCTGAGCTGGGGGGGTGTGGAGCTGGAAGCTCCTAGCAACCCAGCGTCTATAAAGACCAAACACAGGCATCTTGTCATCTTTAGAGAGCTCTCAGTTCCATGTTGTAGAACTAGGGTCATTTCTTTATTAGCCATTTTTTTCTTCTGCTTCTTACCCATCCTGCCAATACCAAGAGGGAACCATTTCTCTCTTTGTTCTCCTCTCTGCTCTAGTTGCTCTTGCCCCTAACTCCTGTCCTCCCTAGTCACTCATACACCTCCCTAGTAGAATACTGGGTGCACAGTGTGAGCCTCTAATCCAAGCACTGGGGAGCCAGAGTCAGGAAGGATGTCATGCTTCCTGGATAGCCAGTCTAAACTGAATTGGCAAACTCTAAATCCAGTGAAACACCTTGCCCCAAAATATAAAGGGGGAGTATAATAGAGGAATACACCCAAAATAGACTTCTCTGGCTTTCACATGAATGTTCATATAACAAACCTACACACACATTCACATGCATACACAAATATATTTGAGTAAGCCAAGACTGAGACGATAGAGTGGTAAAAAATATAAAAACAGGAGACAGAAAATGGGCCCCCCAAAAAAGAGAAATTTGAAAGACCAAGCAAAGAGGTTCCTCTTAGAGCTGAGAGAATTTACTTAAACTTTGAGTTTTGGCTCTTAATATCCATGACCCATTCATAACTCCAACTATTTTTGCATGACTGGGATCCTTAATAGGAAGGCATGCCTACAGTGCAATTTCATGTCTTCATATTATTGTTGATACATATTGAATTTGAAGTGTGGTTACTAACTCTCTTATCAGTTTTAAGTTTTCTAGGCTGACTCCAAATATTTGCCACTATAGATGTTAGC